AGCGACACAAGTCCTTACTTAATAAAACTGGTTTATTCTTTCTGAATACAACTTTACGATACACTTATTTTCAACAATCACTATATAACAAACGCTATATCAACGAACGTCAACAATACTTCTGACTGCAGTTCAATTACTCACTATCTACACACACATTACATTACATTCACGTTGTCACTCTCTTTTATATAGCAGACTACCCTATATCTAGTAAATGCTAGAGCATTCGCCAAAGTACAGGATAGTTCCAGAAAGTAGAGGGTGTGAGAATAGTCACGTGATCTCGATGACGCAACACTGTTATAAAATGAAGGGAGAACTAACTGATCGATGAGCCTGTCAATTATGACAGGGAGTATTGAAAACACATTGATAAACTTATAAACTAGAAAGTCAGAAATATAAAACAAAATCATTATGAATGAGAACAAGAAAACTAGCACTACACAGAAATCTTGGCTTAGACATTAACAATCTTTAAACACTTCTGATAATAGACAAGAGCCCTACTATAGGGTCTTCATCCACAGCCAACCAAACTAAAACATCGAGTCAACTCAATTTTAGCTGCAACAATTAATACTAACTACTCACTAGACCTTCTTAACCTTATAAAGCTGCATGTAATTATAAAAGTATCTTTTCAAAGTAGAGTGTTCACTCCAAAATAAACACCATGAATCAATCTCTGCTTATTGAGAAATATAACTACATTCTGTTATCATATAATAAAAGTAAGTATTTTGCAAATATCTCCTAAAATCTTTTCATTGAACTTCATTTGTCAATGATGCAGTTCATAGTCCAAAAGTAACCAAAGCTATCCATAAAAAAACAGAAACATGAAATTCTGAGATAGTATTTATTCTCAATTAATGAATTTTAGGTTTAATATTAATAGATTGAGTACATTGTATTAAAGCAATTTTTGTTCCTTAATCATGTTGTTATAGTCCATGTTGTAATGTCAAATCATGTTCTATCTGAAGACTGCATCTTGACAACCCTGAAGCATAATTTCCAAAGCATGCCGTTCCTACCCGCTGATTGTCATAATCCATCTAGTGTACAAATACAATTGATTCAATTGTCCAATTGCACAGAAATCCATAGGTGCTGCATCCAGTGACTTGTCTGATATATCTCTGTATGGAATAGCATGAATACCAATTTCATGGTTAAACAGATATGACACAGAAGAAATTTGCTTATCCAGATGGAGATCCCTCTTCAATACATTATGTATTGTTAGTGGGGGCACATGGACAGCTTTTCCTGCTGACCTCTAGGTTTTTTAAATCTTACCTATTATAAGACATCACAATTTCCTTAACATTGCTGGGGTATAACTTTTTGCAGGTCCCTTTCTGGTCTTGGTATCCCAAGTTAATCCATATTCCTTTGTTTTCCAAAGCTAATAAGCACACAGGATATCCCAACTTTGAAATTCTAAATCCCCATTCTTAACACCTCGTTATGCTTGTTTTTGTTTGTTTGTTATTAAATACAAAGCTACACAATGAGCAATCTGTGCTCTGTCCACTACAGATAGTGTAGCCCGATTTTGAATGTTACACATCTTTATGATTTATTTGTATGAATAGTTTGCATCAAAAAGGGCTGCTACATATCCTCCCCAAAAGCAATCAATTTTCAGTAGTATCACACTAACTATGAAATGCCAAACAATGTCAAAAAGTAGTTTAGATATATATATATACCATTCTATCAACTGTGATTGTCATGTGACTTTCAGATTTTCATATGCAAGATTGTTTTAACACAATACACTTAACCCTCTATACCACATTTTATGAGCACTGTAAAGTATCTTGATAATGATGTAGAATCCTAATCTGGTAATTCTTTATCTTATACAATTTATGTTTATGCTCAAACAATACCTTTTATCATGTACTCAAATAATCAAAAATCATAATTGATATTGTGTATATTTTTGCACCTAAATGTGTCAGTACAGATCTTTATATGTAAATTTTTCATTCATTAACAGCAAGAAATTAAATGAATATGCAACCAAATAAACTTTAAACACCCCATTTTTAATGCCTTTAAATAATACTACAAAATTTCATTCTTTTCAAGAACTTTATATATCTCTGTTAACATAATCTCATTTAGTTATTAGCTATAATTTTCCTGACTGCTGTTTTTACTTGAAAACAAAAAAACAGACCCGAGCTAAAATGTGAAAAACAAAATGTGTTTGAATGTAATACTTTTGATAATATGAAAAGATTCAGTGTTAACTTATTATTATAAGCTAAATGTACAATGTAAATAAGAATAAACATACCTCAAGAATTACACAGCTATCAAAAGATGTGAATATTACACTAAGTGATTTTTAAAAAGTAAAAAAAACAAGGTCAAGAGCAATAAAACATGATTGAATGACAAGAAACATTATTTAATTTGAAAAAAAAAACATTAGTTTGAAAATGGATGACAGAGACAACTGTAGCAGCAAAACAAGTTCTAAAAATAAGAATTAAAATATGTTATCCACTTATAAATTTATAAAGTTATTTAATTTATTATATTTATTTATTTATTAGTTATTATTTATTAATTTATGAAGTGTAATTTTTTATCAATTTTATAAGTTATTAAAAACAACTTATTGTACCAAACAAAATTACATTTTTTCTTCACATATTATGACATTCTTGTAATTATTTATTTTTGATAAAAATAATATTACTTACTGAGAGCTTGACAGAAATGGACCAAACCTGAGAGATGAGGCATAAACAGATACAAGTTGGGATAAACCTTCCACAGGAAGTGGAGTCCACCACTTCAGCTGTACACAATCTTGAATATCAAGAAATTCATATTGTCCTGTGATTTTCAGTTCTAATAAATATTTTCTAACAGTTATAAAAATAATAAGTGTAATACAAATGAAACAATATAAAGTTATAATTTTCCTATACTGAAAATGTATTTCTTATAGGTACTTACCTCTTCTTAGATAAATAGCTATTTTCATTCAGTGTTGCCCTCTATATGCAATTTTTTTCGTATGCAACAGGCCTTGAGGTCCCACATACCCTACGTTCAACAAGGTTTAACTGCATCTTGCATGTAAATCATCATGCAACAACCCTCCACCAATAGGAGTGTGACACACCCTCCTGACACATGACTCCCTCTATTCCACTCTACCGAACTATCTTTTCAAGTTTTGGCAGAAAATGGAATCATTGGTTTTCAGTGGGGAGGAAGGGTGGGAAGAGTTAAGTACCTATTGGAAATACATTTTCAGTATAGAAAAATTATAATTTCTGATATGGTATATTACCTCCACTCACATAATTAACTAGAATCCCACCTTGAATAAGTAGAGGGACTGGTGCAAGGAAAAGAATGAAGCATCCTTCGCAAGTGTCCGAAGAAAACCCAAAAAGAGGAGATCCTCACATTAGAGGATCAAACATGGGAGACCGTACCACTTCTGTACGAGGTATACTCTTTGCCTATTGTGGAAAGAGGTGATGCAAACATAGGCAGAAAATGGGAGGAGCACATCCAAAACGAAGAGAACAATGGTTGTATCTGAACCATTCAATATCTGAATCTCAATCCCATAGATTACATGAATGTGGGTGAGAGTAAAAAGGATGTGCCCCTAGGTGTAGAGTGGCTAGGGCATGACAGACTGTGCAAGGCAAGTCAACTGCATCCAAAACCCAGCTACTGGGAACCAACATCCACGTGGGGGTAGGATGAGGATTATACCATCGGTAAGTCAACTACAATTCAAAACCCAGCCATCTGTTGGGAGAAGGAAAGAAGATTATACTGTCCTCACCTCACGTTCAGCAGACCAAAGGGCAATCTCATACCTATCAATCTGTGAACAAAAAACATGATAACAATATTAAAAATTGTTTGACCAATCCAGGAAACTGACATCTGAATAATTGGCATATGAAAGATGTCCCTGTAAAGTATACACTCCCACTCAAAACCAATCTAACAGGAATCACCCCCAGCACAAAAACATACTCGGTATATGAAAATAATTGAGAGATAGCATAAGAGGAAGAACCATATTAATCTGCAAGTACCACCATTGTGACCTACAACACCGGGAACTGACAACCAGGATAAGGGATCCCAATCGAAGAGGTGAACTGCAATTTTGATGGCTCACTCCAAAGCTACAACATCCCCTCAGATAAACCTGTACAAAGATGAAGCAACAGATTGGAGGACATTTTGTCATCTGCACCAGCAGAACACTGCTGCCCTAGTCTCAACTGAATGGTTTAAAATAATGCTTGGAGATGGCTTGAATGGGTAAGGAAGAAAAACTTAATATAAGTTTAACATAACAGCAAATGTACAACGTTTCAACAAGGTTTGTCATCCTCAGGTACAAGTAGTTTACACTGACACAGAAATATATATATATATATATATATATATATATACATATACAGTATGGAACAAAGAGGTCACATGACTGGATATTGTTGCACGACTTATAAGAGATATCTTGGCACCCCAGGGTGTTGATTTAGAGTAGGGTTGTTTTGTTCAATTAAAATGGATTTCTTGATTTTTCGTTTGTTTATGTTTGGTTCTTTGTTTAAAATTACTGTGTTTTTAATAGGATGCTATGGTTTTTTGAGTTGCAATGGTGGAAAACATGGGATGTTTTTTTTATTGTGTTTTGTGAATCTGGTTTCCAATTTTCTTCCTGTTTCTCCGATGTAGACTTCTGGGCAGTTATTTTGTAAATGACGTTGGTATTGTGTGATTCTAAATAATTTTTGTTTAATAACGATTTTAATTTAGAGCCAGGTTTTTGTGAGAATTTGACCTTGACAGGAATTTTGTGTTTAATGGCTAGTTTTGTCCAAGTATGGATTATTCTTGAGCAGGTTTCAGGGACAAAAGGTAAACTGCAGTGTAATGTTTTGTTGTTGAGTTTGTTAGTATCAATTTTGTTCGTGAGTTAAGTTTTGTTGTGGTGAATGTCAATCTTGTCAAACTTCCTATGTATTTCCGATAGGTACTTATCTCCCCTCATGTATATAGCTATTCTCGTTCAATGCTGCTCTCTATATGCACAAATGTTTTCACATGCCACAAGCCTTGGATTTCCATTTACCCTACGATCAACGTAGTTCAACTGAGTTTTGCATGTAAATCATCACCTGACAACCCTCCACCAATAGGAGTGTGACACACTCTCCTGATGCATGTGACTCCCTCTTTTTGATTCTACCAAACTATCATTTTAAGATAAGGCAGAAAAGAAAGCACCAGTTTTCAGATGAGAGAAAGGGTGGGAAGTGTGAGAGAAGGCAAGTACCAATTGGAAATATATTTTCAGTATAGACAAATAAGAACTTCTGATAAGGTAGATTACCTCCAGTCACATGTACAGCTAGAATCCCACATTGAATAGGTGGAGGGACCGGTACAAGGGATAGAAATAAGTATCCTTCTGAAGCATCTGAAGAATACCCAAGAAGTGTGATCCCCATTTGGAGAGGAACACTCATGGGAGACCACACCACCTCTGCAGCAGGTATAATCTGCACCCAGTGTGGAAATAGGTGTCACATACATGAGTGGAAAATGGGAGAAGCACAACCAAAAAGGGAGAGAAAACAAGTTGGGTTGGGATCTGAACCACAATATATTGGAATCTCAATCCTGTAGAAGAACCATCTACAGACAGGAATGTGGGGAAAGATAAAATGAATGTGATCCAAGGTTTAGAGTGGCTAGGGTATGATAGACCGTACGTGGCTGGTCAACTCCAGTCCAAAATCAAGAGGTATCAGAAAGATAACCTCTGACCCAAACTGTCTTCATCTCAAGTTAAGGAGAATGAAAGTATATACTATGTAAACCAACCAATGAAACAGGCATATGCACAAATCCACAACCAACCACACACATCCGAGAACCCAACATCCGAATGATGGTAGAAAGAGACTGGCATCCCACTGCACAACATCAGCCTCAGGCAGTGAGTGCAAGAGGAAGAACCATTTCCCCAATCTATATGATCCTCTGGATAGGACTGCACAGAAGTTGGAGTGCAATGCCACCCTTCAGGTCCCACCACACAGAAGTGGACTGCATCTAGAAAATATAGCAGCCTCACCCTCCAGATAGAACTGCACAGAAGCTGGGTGTAACATCAACCTCCGGAAACCACTGCATGAAGGTGGAGTGAATGATTAGAGGATTGAATGCCATCTAAACCAACAGAAAATCACCACCCTACTGTCAACTGAATGGAAATGACCACAATCAGGAGGACTCCTTCATGGTCCACCACCCCAGTGGCTCAGAACTGGAAAGTGGCAAGGACTTCCATTCTCCACTTAAAGGGGGACAAAATGGAGAGTCTGGAGGAATACCGACACCAGAGACAGTGCAACTGGTGAAAACCCCTATTTTGAAAAGCATACCATTCCTGGTTTATTTAATTGAAAGGATAGCAAGGGTGTGTAGCTATCCCCTTATACTTTACCCATATAAGTCCATGGGCGTGTACTTCTGGAATGGGCATATTATGAAGCAAAAATATTGCAAGCAAACCTATGATAAATTTTGTGGAATACACCATCTCAACAGTGTGTGTGTTATATGTTATCCACTGATTTGTGTATCATGCTGTGTTTGGAGAATCTCATGTCTCAGAGAGTTGAGAACACTACATGCATCACTGTTTAGACTCTAAGCTTGTATGAGCCATATTGATGGTGGTACTGTACTATCTCCTATACCTTTAACTGTTCTTACATTTGCTAAAGCTTATATACTGCCATGCTATACTCACTGATCTATGAAGGTTACATTCTTTTAGTTTAACAGCAATGTAATACCTAAATAAGGCCTGTGTCTTGCATTTGCTCTTACAAAATCTTCTGTTTTGCCTTTCTGTATCCATCAAACAGTTAAACTCTTTCTGTTTGTTTATTGGCTGGCAGCATGATTGAAGCTTTAACTTTCACAGTAGCATTATGTTCCACATCATAACACATCAGAAAACTCTCACTTGCTGATGAAAAAATATGTGGGGATTTTCATTCTGCTGGCATGACATGCTGTACACTGAAGTTATAATCCCATAGCATTGTTATCTAAGATAAAAGTAGCTTCTGGTTCTTTAAGTTCCTAAGCTACTTCATTGATGCGTGATCTGCACTGAAAGCAATAATTCTGAAATAAAAAGATTGGTGTAAATACTTGAAAAATACTACAAGTTATAGCTTGACCTGCATACATTATAACATGCT